CCTCTGCTGTCCGAAGAAGTCGTCTCCACTCTACTCGATCCATGGCCACAGTTCGCCAGCCTCGTAGTCTGCGAAGGGTCCGCAGGTCACCTTCTACTTGGTCGATCCACCTTGCCCGCTGCGCGACTCTTCTTCTTGTTCCTGTTGGGTCGCTTTCTAGAACCATTTTCACTGGGTCGTCGTGCGGCATTGTTACGACGTGCCCAGCCCACCGTAGTCGCCCAATTTTTGCAATGTGGACGATGGATGGTTCTCCCAGCAGCTGGTGCAATTCGTGGTTCATTCGCCTCCTCTACGTTCCGTCATCCATCTGCACTCCACCGTAGATGGTACGCAACACCTTCCGTTCGACAACACCAAGGGCGCGTTGGTCCTCCACGAGCATAGTCCAGGTCTCGTGGCCGTAAAGGACCACCGGTCTAATCAGCGTCTTGTAGACAGTCAACTTCGTGCGGCGGCGAATTTTATTCGACCGGAGCGTCCTCCGGAGTCCAAAGTAGGCACGATTCCCTGCCATAATGCGTCTTTGAATTTCTCTGCTGGTATCATTTTCGGCGGCTACCAGTGAGCCCAAATACACGAACTCATCGACCACCTCGATTTCGTCACCATCAATCTGAACTCGGGGCGGGAGGCTAACATTGTCTTCCCTAGAACCTCTTGCTTTCATGTATTTTGTCTTTGATGCGTTGATGGCAAGTCCAATCCGTCTAGCTTCAGCCTTCAGTCTGATGTACGTTTCCGCCATCATCTCAAAGTTCCGTGCCATAATGTCAACGTCATCGGCGAAACCAAGGAGCTGGATGGACTTCCTGAATATCATGCCACTCGTGTCTATCCCAGCTCTTCTGATCACACCTTCTAACGCGATGTTGAACAGCAGACACGAAAGTCCATCACCCTGCCGTAACCCCCTTCGAGATTCAAAGGGACTCGAGAGTGTCCCCGATACTCGAACAACGCACATCACTCGATCCATCGTCGCCTTGACCAATCGCGTCAGTTTATCCGGAAATCCGTACTCGTGCATAATCTGCCATAGCTGATCTCGATCGATTGTGTCGTATGCGGATTTGAAATCGATGAACAAATGATGTGTGGGCACGTTGTATTCGCGGCATTTCTGCAGAACCTGCCGAATCGCGAAAATTTGTTCCGTGGTAGCGCGGGCACCCATGAATCCCGCCTGGTATTGCCCCACGAACTCTCTTGCATATGGTGACAGACGGCGGCATAGAATTTGGGAGAGTACCTTGTAGGCGGCGCTCAGCAGTGTGATCGCGCGGTAGTTGCAGCAATCCAACTTGTCGCCCTTTTTGTAGATTGGGCATACGACACCTGCCATCCACTCCTCCGGTAATATCTCCTCCTCCCAAATCGTGGCAATTACCCAGTGCAACGCTCTAGCCAGTGCTTCACCACCGTATTTTAATAGCTCACTTGGTAGTTGATCTACACCAGTTGCTTTGTTGTTTTTCAGCCGACCGATCTCCTCCTCAACTTCTTGAAGATCAGGGGCCGGTAGCCTGTCGTCTTCTGTGCGTGCTCCAAGGTCTGTTGCCGTGCAGATTTTCCATCGCCTCGCGATCTCGGTCTTCCTGCTGACGCTTCTTCCTTCGGAAAACCGAGTTTTGTCTGTTCCGCGCTTGTCTGTATCGCTCCACATTCAATCTCGTGCGGTGTTGCAGCATTCTCGCCCGTGCTGCATTCTTCTCCTCTACTAACAGTTTGCATTCGCCGTCAAACCAGTCATTTCTTCGGTCCGGGATTGCAGTACCTAGTGCCGCTACAGCAGTACTACCTATGGCTGAACGGATGTCCCTCCAGCCATCTTCAAGAGAAGCTGCGCCAAGCTGCTCTTCCGTGGGTAGTGCAACTTCCAGCTGCTGCGCGTAGTCCTGGGCAACTCCGGTGTCCCGTAGTTGCTCAATGTTGGGTCGTGGCGTTCGACTTCGACGTGTGTTATGCACCGTCGAGAGTTTTGAGCGCATGCATACTGCAACTAGGTAGTGGTCCGAATCTATGTTCGCACTGCGGTACGTGCGGACGTTGATAATGTCGGAGAAGAATTTCCCGTCGATTAGAACGTGATCGATTTGGTTTTCTGTGTGTTGGTCAGGTGATCTCCAGGTGGCTTTGTGGATATCCTTGCGGGGGAAAAAGGTACTTCGAACTACCATACCCCGGGAGGCTGCAAAGTTCACGCATCGTTGGCCGTTGTCGTTCGATACGGCATGCAGGCTGTTTGGCCCGATTGCCGGTCTATACATTGCCTCTCGTCCTACCTGAGCGTTCATGTCGCCGATGACGATTTTGACGTCCCGTTGGGAACAGCCGTCGTACACCTGCTCCAGCTGCGCATAGAACGCTTCTTTCTCGTCGTCGGGTCTCCCTTCGTGTGGGCAGTGCACGTTGATGATGCTGTAGTTGAAGAAACGGCCCTTAATCCTCAACTTGCACATCCTCGCGTTGATCGGCTGCCAACCAATCACGCGTTGGCGCATCTTACCCAGCACTACAAAGCCGGTTCCCAGCTCGTTGGTGGTGCCACAGCTCTGGTAGAAAGTAGCCGCTCGATGCCCGCTTTTCCATACCTTTTGTCCCATCCAGCAAAGTTCCTGCAGGTTGAAGTTCGTCATAGATTAACCTATCGCAACCCGGGAAGCCGAGCGATTTGCAGTTCCATGTTCCGAGTTTCCAATCGTAGTCCTTATTTCGTCGCGTAGGTCTGTGCCGATTGTTCCGATCCGTATTGCTTCCTTCGGGTATTTGCAACTTTGTTTTTTTTTTCAGGGTGGCTTGTTGGGCCTGCCCCAACCCCTGTCTCGCCGGGGAACCCTCGTGCGCAGCTCTGTTTAGAGTCCCACGCTGGCACTAGGACGGTGATCAGCCGCTCCTAACATGGAGAACAGACGCCGTTTTGAGCCGCACCTCCATGGTGAGCAGACGCTCAGGTTTGGTGAAGCATTTCCTCTATCACCGTACTATGGTTACCGCGCCAGTGTTCGCGTCGCACCTCTTCACTTTGCTATTGCCGGACTGGCAACATTGTCCAGGCTACGCCAACCAGCTGTGTCCATGTTTCAGCTGGTAGTCTTTTGTTATCATATGACTCGAGGAGGCGTGAAGTAGGAACTTGTGAGGACCAGGGCTAGGTATTCCGCTCCTTCCAGGTTGTCAACTCACCATTTTGTAGCGATTTTATCCTTATTATTCGTATATTTACAGAAGCTGGAAGGTCATATAGTGAAAACAAATTCGATTTACTGAATTTAATTATTTACTTTGACTGCTTTGACTATATGTTTTAGTATTACTTTTGCGTGAAGTCAACGATTTACATAGTTGAAGATGCTTATTTCAAATAACAGACTAGAGTACGATAGATGAGTAGATGAAAGTATAGAATTGATAGTTCCGTTTAGAGTACGGCCAATAATCAATACGAAACAACGATTTTAAATTGGCTCACCACTTGACTAGCCTATTGGTCCCAAGCAAATCGATTAACGTATCCCATTCTACTATAAATTCCAGTACTACACTATGTTTGTTTTGATTCGCTATGAAAGTTTGACAGATAAAATGAGGGGTGATTTGATTTTCCTATGTTTCGAGGGGTGAATCGAGTAGCTTGGGACCGAAGATAGTACCAGAGCTGAGCCAAAAAGTTGAGCACGTTTCTTCTGGACCTACTAGCCTTAGGCCGCGGCCAAGGTAGACGCGACACGCGACGCGACGTGATGCGACTCACGCAAGGAATAATAATATTCTTGTGAATTGGTCGCGTCGCATCGCGAAACGCGTCTACCCTGGCCGCGGCCTTAGAGTTACCTCTATGGTACAGCAATTGCATATAGTAGTAGAAAGCGATCTAGACAACTTTTAGGAAGGTACAAATCAGTTTTATCATCTCTCTTTACCAAACTCCCCCTATGGAGAGGGATGGTGAGGGGTGTGTCCCCCCCGTTTGCTGATCTTCCATCAAGTCTGAAATCAGCAAAATTTTGCTGAAGTTCAGTGATTTAAATTTGGTGTGTATAGCTAAGCGTGTAGTGCTGGCAGTGCCGCTGTACACATGCTGTCAATTAATATCGCATAAATCAGCGTCGCGACGCCGGATACACCATGAACGTCATGGCGATCGAAGTAAGCGTGCGGTTTTTCCCATTTTATCCTTTTATCCGAAAATCAAATTTAATGCAATCGCATCGTTTACAAAACTACGGGTGCAGTTCCTGAAGATAATTCTCAGTGATTTTGTTTGTTTCAATTTGTGCGCTTTTACAGTGATAGATTGCTGTGTAGGATTTCTTCGAAGAAAAATGTTCAATCGAATCGAGAACAAGTGCGGAAACAATCCCAGATTTGCCGATCGTAAAATGGATTCCGTTATGTTTGACTGCGTAGAAGCACAACTGGGGAAAGCGTCAGCAACGGGCAAACGAGCCAGAAAGGTTAGTGCTACTTGTTTTCCCCCGATGCCTTACACTCAAAAAATTTCACTCATTTTTATTGACGAATTTCCATGTGAAATTTCACATGATTTTCATGTGACCACACAAACTGAAACCGCTCAGAAGTACACTATATTATGGAGACTGCATAAACCACTATAGGAACACATTGCTCTAACGTACCTCCACTATTGGTGCGTTTACCCTATCAAGTCAGAACAACTGCAAACTGAAATAAAAATCACAGCGCATTTCACACTAAACTGGAAGCGCGGTTTACTTATTAAAAAGTGTGACAAAAGTGCGAGATTTCGTCTAATCGTTTTGGTGTCCTCAGTGCACTTATTCCTTATGACGCAAACAATAAGTGCTCCAAAGACACCGATATGACGGAAATGTGTACTTTTATTACACATTTTGCACATTTTTTAGGGCAGTTTCAGATGCAATCAGCAATAACCATGGAAACGCTTAATCGTGGACAAAAATTTTATTTGATGGTTGCTGCGATTTCACGAGCCCGATTGATAGCGCGCAGTCATTATCCGGTTTGTTTATGTTTTGATTCCGCATCTGCATCGTTCAACAAGTTGAACAAGACTATAGTGGTGTTCCCGGTGGTTAGTTATTTTCCCTAAAAAAGTGCTTCAAACTATGATATTAACTACCGGTAAGTGGCTAGCAGTAGTGAAACTCCTGTCAAGTAGGTTGAGCAATCATGGAACCAGTGTCCGGAAGTTATGCTCCACGGTGAAAGCTCCCAACAACAAGTTGAGTAACGTCCGTAAGTATTGCCATTATTTGAACATTATTTCCACCAAAATAAACTTCCCAACGATGACCGATTTAGAAGTTCCCGCCTACCTGACCTTGCACGGCCAATGGCCGCAAGAGGATCGCCAGCATTTCATCGATGACATGACGGTGCTGGAGGATTTCATCAGCGAGGAGGAAGAGCAAACGCTGCTGCAGGAAATCGAGCCCTACCTCAAGCGGATGCGATACGAGTTTGACCACTGGGACGATGCCATCCACGGCTATCGGGAAACGGAACGGAAGCACTGGTATCCGGCCAATCGGGCCGTATTCGATCGGGTGAAAGAGGTGGCATTCAAGGGGAAAACATTGCCCTACATCCACGTGCTGGATCTGGCGAAGGAAGGCGTCATCAAGCCTCATGTGGACAGTGTTCGGGTAAGGTTACGGAAAATTGAGCTCAGTTGTATGATTGGTTGCAAGATAACGGTGGAATTTTAGTATTGCGGTAGCACCATAGGCGGAATTAGCCTTCTTTCGGATTCGGTTATGCGACTGGTTCGAACGAACGATGAGGAGCAGACAAATGCGGAGTATAGACAGATTTTCGCTGCTAATCGAGATGATAAATATTGGTCGGACATTTTCCTGGCCAGACGATCATTGTACATCATGAAGTGAGTGGAACTTTTTAATCGCTCCGTAGAACGCAATTTAAAATACTAAATTATAGGGATACTGCGAGGTACAAATACACCCACGAAATTCTTGCCGGAGAGGATTCCGTCTTCAGCGAGCGCAAGGTGGACAAAGGCCGTCGTATTTCCATCATTTGTCGGAATGATCCCTGATCAGCGTCGGACGTCTTTCGAAACAGGCAGTTGTAAATAAAACCTAGTTACTGAAACATTTATTTCCTCTATCATTCCATCGAACAATTCAACCCAATTTCTCCGTCTCCGGTTTCACCTCAGCCGTATCGGCCGGCTGCTGCGTAGTTCGCTGTAGCAGATTCTTGCTGAACCACACCGGTCGGGTCTTCTCCATTTCGACAATCCTTTTACCCTGCCAGAACTCTTCCGGCTGCTCGTCCCGTTCGCGATCGTACAGCACAACCACCTCCTTGTCCACCGGCTCCAGTCCCAATTTGGCTTGGATCTTCTGCTGAATGTGTTCCGTCTCATCGCGGACCTTCTTGTAGCACGTCGGACAGAGGACGCCCACCTCGTGATCGCTTCCGCATGAGCCGCAAATCCGCAGATGTGTCTTTGGGGTGAAAATCTTCAACTTGTACTCCGGACTACCGTACTTGCGCTTCAGTCGTTTCTCCACCGTTCGCCGGTGCCTCGGAACAGCCCACAAAATGCCATCGCCAATCAGATCCTTCAAACTGAACGGTTTGCTCGACTCGGCTGAGGGAACCGGAAGCCTTCTACCCTCGGTTCCGATCAACGCCAGGGCACCTGAAGATGATAAGTAACGTTACGTAAACATAAACTCGAAACACAGCGGCACTCACCAGTCGGGGGAAAGCGGCTTCCTGGGAAGCCAAACAAACTTGGCAGGATTTGCTCGAAGCGTTCTAGCGCGAAGCGCAATCGAAGCCACATACTGGAATTCATTTTATTGGTCTTCTCTGGGAAAAACAATCTGGTCCAAATTTCTCTGCGCCTGCTGTAGTTTTACGGCCGCAGCATGTTTTTCGGTTTTTAACTCGACCGAAGGTTTGTTTACTTCTGTACTGTCAAAGTTACGTTTATCCTCCCCAGTGTTGAAACGATGGATGAAGGTGCGCATGGGATATATGGGGTATTTGACGGCAGGGATGGCCAGGTGTGTTCCAAAAACTTAACGATGGAGGCCTGAAAAAAATCTAATAAAAACAATGAATTATACTGTTGTTACTGTAACCATGTAAATTACATGGTTACAGTAACAATAATATTAATTGTATTTTTTCAGGCATCCATCGTTGAGTAGTAATATAGTAAAATATTAGGAATTTGTATTCACTAGAACAAAAATACAACGAAATTGCTGGTTCGCAGCAACAAAACATGATATTTTTTAAATTTACATTAAAAAAGAGCGGTTGTTATGTATCTTAACAAAAAAAAAAAAATCCTTATTTTCATTGTTTAAGCTTTGTTTTCTGGTACAATAATTTTGCAAAGAATTTTAATTGAAATTTAATCTTTGCAGAAGATCAGGGACGACCACCATTTGATTTCAGTGAACTTCGTAAAAGTTTCTCTAATAATAACATTTGTATGGTTATTTTGCTTAACGACGTGTTCAGGGTATCATCCAAATCATTTGTGGAATAGTTCTATCATTTGAGTTATCGTTCGGGTATGGTATTTTTTATTAGGGAAGTCACTTCTAGTCAGTTGTATGAGGTACTCAGCGCTGAGTTTCTGCAGTTTTTAGAAATATCTCCATACCTCTGAGTGGAAGTGACTCAATGAGCTAGATTACCGAGGTGAAGCAATCGGTTAAGTTATGTAAGTTAAACCACTGTACGATACAAGCAATTACTGGCGTCACTAATTGCGTTTAAGTTGTTTTTTAGGTTTACTGGTTTACTAAGGCCGTTCGCAATGCTGTTGTATTTTATATGGACTGTTTCAATTTGAAACTAGAACAGAAACGCACCCCTCGCAATGCTGGGATGCAGTTTCATTATTCGAGCACTATTTTGCAAAATATTTGCAACTGCTCGCTCTGCTATTCGGTTTTATTTCAGGTTTGAAACAAGATTGGAACTCTGTAATCAGAGACCTTCATAAAGCACTCAGGCTATTTTTTCAAGTCTTCAGGATGGTTATTCTGAAGATCCCAAACCGCCAACAATTCAAATAATGTTTCTCAGATATTCTCTCAGGAAACCAGATGACTTCTATTTTTTTTCCAAAGATCTTCAGGTGATTAGAGATCTCCAAAAAACTTCTTTGGTTTTTTTTTCAATGCTTCTGGTTGATCCAAGGGGTGGTCACTCTACACACTTATTTTGCGCCAACATTTTTCTCAGTGTGGCTCAAATGTGCTGTGTAATAATTGTATAATTGAATAATTCAAAGCTGGAATTAGCTGAATCCCAATGGATGTAGCAACAACAGTGACGAAAGCGTGGACCATGGCAGTAAGAGTGAGTTGAAGGCTCCGGCGAAATTATATGTTCCGGATACCAAAAATGGTTGTGCCAACAATCAAATTTGGCACGTCCGCATTGCGCAGGCGCAGAAATAGTGCAGTTATGCCAGTTACATTATAAATCATACAAATTATGTTCCATGGGTGCCAACGAGTGTGCTCAGATGTTCCCATATGTGTTTTTGGCACACTGTGCTGAGCTCGGTGTGTTGCAGTTTCATTTTTGACAGTTTTAAATTTTAGAACTGTCGCGTAGTTTGAAACAATTATGAAACTGTTGTATTTTATATGGACTGTTTTAATTTGAAACTAGAACAGAAACGCACCCCTCGCAATGCTGCGTTGCAGTTATTCATTATTCGAGCACTATTTTGCACCAGATTTGCAACTGCTAGACTATTTGGTTTTATTTCTGAGCGGGTTTGAAACATGAATGGAATTCTGTTTAAAATTTCTTTGGTTGTATTTATTGATGTTTTTTAAGAACTGTTCAGAGAACTCCATAGAAGTTGAGAAGATTCAATCGAAATTTGGTATTTTTTTATTTTTGTAAAACAATGAACCAAATTAAATGTAGCTTTTTTTGTATGTATTCAAAACAAAAATTATTTTAATCTGTGCATAGTTTATTGAAATCTATTCACCATGAAAAAAAGGTAGGGGAAATGACGGCTTCGGCATGACAGACTATTTTCGGCAACCCAAATCGAAACACTATTTTCACTGGATTTTCTTACGAAAACACTTTGCTGAATGCATGCAAACGATTCTTTATGCTTTTAGCTTCAATTTGACTATATTTTTACCACTGAGAAAAAGCAATCTAGCAGGGTTTTCTTGAAATGAAACACACGCACTACAAATTGTAGCTGATTTCGAGCTGCCGATAATAGAACAGCAGATTTACATGCAGTTCAAATGGAACGGTTGCCGAAGAAAAACTGGTTGCCGACAATACTCGCTCTCATTAGAGAAGATTGGAGCTTTGTAAAAGCGTTTCAAAACAGTTTTTGACAATTTTTTCGACTGAAATTGTTAGAGCAGCTGGCAGCAAAAGATTGTAAACAAACCAATACTGCATATGTGTGCGTTCCATAGAGAAAAAGGCTATAGAAAGAAGATCGCTGCTTAGGTTGCCGAGAATACGTTAATTCCCCTATATTAGTTTGATTTTATTTTCAATCTACAAGAAAATTTTGTGATTAAGAAAGGTAAGAATCAGCTCAAAGCTGCAAATTTATTGGCTAGAAAAGTGCATGATAGAATAACAAAGTTTACTTACATATGGTCTCGTAATTTAATTTCAAATTTAGGTTTATACTAGTGTAATTTAGGATTTAAGCTGTAGTTAGTAGTTTAATTTAGTATTTATCAAGGCAAAACAAACAAATTTTAATTTACTTCAATTTTCCTCAATCCACGTTGCTTTCAAAACAATAATATTCTTATCAATGCTTATCACCGACTTTGACAATTCGTATTCGCATGTATACGTCCTACTCACACTGTCGTGTCCCAACGGTTGACGCTTTCGGGGGGGCGCGTCGATAGACGCATTCGTCGCAACATCCTCCCCCTCGTGTCGTACAAACACTGGTTCAACGGCACCATTTACGCGACTAGCTGCGTGACTGCGCCCGCCGCTATCCGCATCACCATGACCGCCTATTTCCGCTCCGTCATGTCAGTTAACTTCCAAAACTGCTAGGTTGCAGACTGCTCTCCTCCTCATAATTTCGTTGGATGTCACGATGTCCGCCAGCCGCACGGCTTCGTCCTTGTCTGGATATGTACGGCAAACGCGACCACGAGACCATTGGTTCCGCATTTTTCCGTCGGCCCCCACAACCAACGCTCCTTCTCTGATTGGTGCAACGTCGATGAACCACTTCGATCGTCGAGATATCACTGGAAGATATTCAACGATCCAACGTCTCCAGAACGAGTCCAACCTGTACTGAATCAGCTCCCAGCTACTCTTCAGGGCTTTCCGTTCATCCACTGGTGCTTTAACAGGTTGCCTGACCCCACTTGAGTTAAGCATCAGGAAATGGTTCGGAGTTAACGATTTCTGCTCCTCGCTGTCTAGTGGTAGAAGCGTCAACGGCCGCGAATTAACCATGTGCTCCGCTTCGATCAACAATGTGACGAACGATTCGTCGTCCAGCTTTTGGGATGTGGGTAGTGTACCGAGTGCCGCATTCACTAATCGAACTATCCGTTTCCAACATCCTCCCATATGTGGGGCTGCAGGTGGATTGAATTTCCATTCGGTGTTTGTGTCCGTGAATGTGCTACCCAAGCTACGGTTGATATCTCGCAATTCGTCCTCAAGCTTCTTGCTAGCACCTATGAAATTCGTGCCGTTGTCACTGTACACTTCTCGCGGTGCACCTCTGCGTGCGACAAATCGTCTAACTGCTTTCTTGCACGAGTCGGTAGAGAGGGTGTGCACTACCTCTATGTGGATGGCCCGAACTGCTAGGTACGTAAAGATCGCTACCCAGCGCTTCACGGAACTACGACCACCTTTCACTAGATAAGGCCCGCAGTAGTCTATGCCTACAAATGTGAATGGTCGAAGGTGTTATACGAAATTGTGGCAGCTGGCTCATCTTCGGAATTGCCGGAGTAGCTTTGCATACCCGGCACCATTGACAGCGTCTCGCCACGGATCGGATCTCTGTTCTCAGGTTTGGAATGTAAAACTTCTGACGAACTTCATTCACAACCGTTTCATTGTTGGCTTGTCGGAATTTCCGATGGTACCAGTCCAGCAACAGGTTAGTTACCTGGTGTTTCTTTGGCAGTATTATCGGGAACTTGGTATCTCGTTCTACGCAATTAGCAGGGGCAAATCGACCGTCTACGCGTAACGATCCGTGTTGGTCAGGCATTGGTGGAAAATTCGCTGTTTGGGTGCCGATAGCACGTTCCGGTTCATTGTAGCCACCTTATCTGGATAGCCATCCGACTGCGCGAGCCGCCAAGGGCTCCTCTCCGCATTCCGCAAATCTTCACTGCTGGTATCCGTAGTTTCCTCTCTCGCTTCGTCTCTGATTCGTCTGAGAAGCTTCTCACTGAACCGGTGAGCATATGCCACGCTTCGCATTAGGCACTTGAATTTGGAAAACCGTGCCACATTGATGATCGGAGCCGACAAAATGTGATTGTAAGTAAACGTAGGCCGGTCGCAGCTCTTCTTGTGATGCCTCCACCGCTATCTCGAGCTTGTCCTGTGGTCAATCCTTCTCATCGCTGTACAGAAATGCCGGTCCACGCATCCATCGGCTATCAGGCTTGCAGTTTGGGCCTTTGCCCCAACGCCACTCCTCGATCTTCGACAGGCTCAGGATCTCGTTGACTCTGAACGCCACGTACTGTCGATATCGCCGTGTATTCGACTTGATCCACGAAACTACGGTGGTTGAGTCGCTCCAAAAGAAGGTTCGTTTGATCTGTACCGAGTGACCATCCACAAGTTGACAACAATAGTCATATTATAGTATTTGAGAAGGTATTTGTAAAATCGGAAGTTCTTATCTTGCATCTAAAATGACGTTATCCGTTGACCATAAGCTTTGGTTGTTTTTAAATGAGTTGTGGGATTTTTATTTTTTTTTTCGCTTTGAATAGATATTAGTAAATTTTCAACCAATGAGAAGTAAAATGTTTTGACTAGACAAGAAAAATATGTGGTTTTTTTTGCCACCAGAAATAGCAATTGGGTTCTTTAATTTTTAAATATTCATCGATTTTTATATATCATCTGAAAGAACTTCTGTAGTGTACCTACATGCTTCCATCAAAATTTAACATAGACACATTAAGCAACGCTACTTCAGTGTCTGCTCAAGTCAGCATTTTGGCATAACCAGCAAGTATGGGAACGATTGCCTCCATCGTGTCTCACCGTAACTAAAAATGACTCCTCGTCAGCATGTTTCAAGTCAGGTAGCTGGTTACTATGCATAGAAATAAAGACAGCACATTCTAACTCCAACATCGGTTGTGTCCGAGGGGGGCGACACATCTAAATCTCAAGTTTAGATGCTCAACAAATCTCACACTAGCGAATCAATCTTCGAAAAATCTTCTTTCATTTGTCGCATCTACTTGCATCGCGCATCATTTTTTTTTGCAGGAAATCTTCAGAATCGTCATCAATCTTCTTTCTATCTACTCAGCGTGCGCGCAACTAGCCACAGCAAAACACAATCTTTTCTGCATCGTAGATAGAGTCGTCCCCCTCGGTTGTGTCCAGTTGTACAAAGATATCACATCCACGTACCGATAAGTTATCGGTGAAGTTTCATCTGCAAAATAATAACTTCACTGTTTGACACTAAACTAACAAATTGGCAGCTCGCTCCCATACAAAGTCTCACAGAGGGAACCGAAATCCGAAATTTCATCAATTTTGATACACTGGAATTATTTAAATAAGTACGATTACATTAGCAAACATCACCATCTTAGCGCCACTTGGTGGGACTTTGTATGGGAGCGAGCTGGGAGGGAGAAGCAGATAGCACACACGGAATTCATTGTATACTTGTTCTTCTTGTCATGAAAATGTGTGCCGTTGAAACCAAATCAAAACAGGCGTAGCAAAATAGCGCGTTTTGCTTTGAGCGTGTAGTGATTGTTTGAGATTGTTGAGTGTGCAGTGAGAAACTGTACTTTTTCTGTTTGGTATTTTACTATGCCACTTGATGTTTTGACAAAACCTTGGCTAATGGTACCTTTCAATATTGATTTTTGTTTATTTTGAATGAATTAAAAAGAAACGGTGTCCCATTGAATAAAATAGCTGGAAACGAAAGTTTGTCACAAATTACTTTACGCAAGATTTCAATACCGCCTTGTGCATTCTTTTTCAACTGTAAGAAAAGCATCATAAAATTGCTTGGCTCCAAATGACAGTTCGTGACAGCAGCCGTCTTGTTTGCATTTGACGTTCCATTTTTCTCTCTTCGCGACCCTCCCTCAGGGAGCGAGCTGTCAACGATCAAAAATTTAAATCTAGATTTAAAAATCGCTATATTCATAGTCTTGCGGATAGAATTTCGATCTATCAAAAAGCGGAACCAATTCAATATATTTTAAACCGACAATTGATCAGGTACTATCAACTTTTATAAACAAAACGTTGATTATTCTTTCCTCGCCAGTCGAACGCAAATTATCAGCATCATCGGATAGGGGAAACTTTCATCAACCCAAAGATGGTGTTAGTTTGCGTAGGCGAGCCTTGAGTCACGAGAAAAGGGTTCGCAATAGCTGGATGTGCTCTTTTCTGTTGTTGGTCGTGATTTGCTCGATTGGTTCCGCTATTTGACAGCTCAATTGGTTCCCGAGATTCTATCCGCCAGACTATGAATATAGCGACTATAGTGTCTACGGGATCGATAAAAATATCGTTGTGCTCAGAAAACAAAGCTCTATCAGATAATAGGTCGCATGAATAAAAGCGTTTACTTTTCTTTTCCCGTAAGAAAAGCACGGGAAAGTAAAGTAAACTCTTTTTATTCATACGGCCCAATGTATACAAATCGGTATATTTTTCGAAGTTAAACAACCCAATTAAAAAAATTGTACACGGCCAATGATATCAACTCATATTTGAGTTCAGTTTACTCAAAAATCGCAAAAAGAGCAGGAACTCAACGATGAGTAAATTTACTTCATGTTTTTCCAGGTTTTCCAGGAAAAATATTCCTGAATATGAGGAAAGTAAATATTGGATTCTTTCAGTCTATTGGTACTACCTACTTCTAGACTGAATAAAATTTTCGTAAATTTTCCTCATTTTCCCGCAGATTTTTGAGGCATTCCTGATTCTGCACGATTATGAGTAAACTGAACTTAAATTTGGGTTGATCCATTGGCCGTGTAGTCAAAATAAGCAACTATATAAATACGCTTCTATGCCAATAGTTTTTTCGCTGGGGCACTAACAAACATCAGTCATCTGTCTGCATCTGTGGCGTATAACAATCAAAATACGAGAAAGACCTTCGATAAAAGCAACCAGCAAAAGTAAAGTGAATTTTAATAACCAGACAGAAAAAAAAAAAACTAGAAAGTGACGTGTTTTTTTTTCGTTCCCGTGTTGTTCCTGGACGACACAACACAAACAGTGCTATCGATGGCTAAATAGTGCAATCCTACGCCTAAATAAATTCCATCCACCCGCTAAAGTGAGCCAGAGTCGAGCTCTCTGGCCGTGTAAATCCCTCCACAATGACAACCCCGGAAAAAGATAACTGTTCCTCCTCGTCATCCTCGCATTACGCTCTGCACGTAGCGCTGCAGACGATGAAGGAGCGCTGTCAGAATCTGCAGAAACGCTTGAGTGCACTGGAGGAGGAAAACCTTGGACTCAGGATGGCTCATCCGAATATGTCCTCGTCGGACGCGACACACGAACGGAGGGTCTCCAATCAGACTGAGCTGGAGGTCCTGCGGGAGAAAGTGTCCGAACTGTCGCGCCAGAAGATCCAACTGACGGATCACATCTCGATGGTGGCCGCGGAGAATAGGCAACTGTGGAGCAGGCTGTCCAAGTTGACCAAGGACAATCAAGCGCTCGGGGGATCGGTTGCACGGATGAAGGAATCGACTGTAGGGGGTTCGCAAAACTTGATCCGATCTAAAACCTTCACCAAGAATGCACCCAATCCGATGCTTCGGGACAGACTACCCCGGGAAGGTAGCGAAGGATCGTCCTCTTCGGAGGATATCAATATGGAACTGGAAGATGTATCGCTGCTCAACAAGTGCGGATTCATTGACAGTGGAACTGGAGCGGAGATGGGCTTTCTGCAGCAAGATGGGGAGGAGCTGTTGATGTTTGATCTGGAGAACAATCCGGACGCCAAACGGTGCACCGAAGGGTTACTGGAAATTCAAAAGGAGTTGCTGAGGCAGCAGACCATACTGAAGCTCGCTGCTGGGAAATTGCAGACTAAGCAAGGTAACTGTTTGAAAGTGACTGTATTTGCAGAAAAATCATCATTATTTCCTGTCTGGTTCGTAGAAACATGTCAAGCATGCAAAAACAAGAAGACTGATGCCAAACCCCAGATGGTGGACAAAACTGTGGAAGTTGGTAATGACCTTCCCGAGCAAGGTCAGTTGGCGCAATCCACCGAGGATCTTCCCTTGCCGGAGATTCCAAAGGTCCCGACCGTTTCGAAGAATGGAACCGCGGCACCGACGGAAACGGAAGCCAGTACTCTAAAATACATCAACATCCTGCAGGAGAAGGTCAAAGCGGACACGCAGGACAAAATGTGTCCCATGTGCGGTAAGATCTACGTGAAGAACATTCCCTTCGATGAATTTCAGGAGCACGTGGAGGGACATTTCATCGACGACAACGAGATGGATCTTAGTCTGGATCGGACGTACGAGTACATCTCCCAGACGGTCGGTAACTTTTGACCGGACGCCGAGCGGCGGATTTACTTTTTTAGCGAATTGTAGCAATGTACCTAAAACGGACGTGTGACGCTGGAAGCAGGACATGGAAGCCATGACAAGGATAGCAGTAAAATCACCAGGAAGTAGGCTCTTATTTGAATGGGTTGGATTAAATTGCGATTGCGTTTGTGATTGGTTTGGAATGACGTCGGTTCTGAATTGTGTAAGTATTGTTGAGTGTTCTTCGTTTAGTAAATAGTGATCAAACAAAAATATGCCAACTGCGTATTAAATGTCAGTTGCGCCAAGTTTTTATCATCAGAATTATGCAAATCTGGCATTCAGAATCATAAGAACTTAACTGCAATGATCGATTTTCTCATTGAATAAATTGAATAAAAACATTTTCCGAAGTTCGAGCAATACAGCAAACGCCCCGAAAATGTAAATCCAGTCGAGGTATTACCCAAAAAGAGAAAATCGATGATGAGAATCAATCATTGTAGTTAGGCCATTATGACTCTGAACGCTAGAAATATTTACTCCCGTATCTTACGTGCACTCGTTGGTGCGCATCGCTTTTGGGCAATTGGTGATGAGGAAATTGCTTTCCATGTAGCCTTAGGTTCTGAGCGATTGTAATAAACTTTTGACTTAAGGAGATGCCGATTCCTGGAAGATTATTGCATATGGTTGGTTGGTTAATGGAAGTAGAAGGAAAGAAGCGCTCAGTGTTATAGATCATTAACCTGCGGGATATAGGCTAGGGAACTGCATCATCACTCTTCAATATTCATTTCAGTGCTCACATTTTTTTTTGCATTAAAAAACAATGCCTAAAAAAATAAAAGCTCACTCATGAAAAATAATGACAGCAACAGGTAGTGACTCGGAGGAGTGAGCTTTTAGTTGCGAGAAATCGACTGCTAAAGCCATTGTTTACAGAAGCAATTTCGCTCCTTTGGCATGTTGGCACTGAATTACTAGCCTATCGTAGAAGAGCTAGAAGAGAACTATCGTCTTGAATACTTCTGATATTCGCCGGTAAGGTCCACTGGTGGAGATGAAAGTCCACTCAACAAGCTTGTAATTGATTTTGCATCGCTGAACGCCACAGCTGAGTTCCGTACAAAAGCGGACTATGAACTGTTCGTGTCTTTCCTTGAAGGATTCAAAGTCGGACATCGCTGGTAAGAAGCCCTTCAAGACAGTCTTCAGGGACCTATCAAATTTCGATCCCAAGACGATCCAAGCTTAAATCAAAGACCGTTACAAGCTGACCCCAATCGCTTTCTTCCGGATGACGAAGAGAGAGAGATGAAAACGTGAAGATGTACCCAGATTGTCTTTTCCAAGAGAGGGACGGTGGCGCCGCAAGCATTTAGTTCCCTTTTTCCACCATCGATCGCATGTAGACGCCAATTTCAGAGGACTGGGGATCTGGACGAAACGAAAGTTTTGGGCTTGTTGTTCAAAATCTGGATGATCTGTGGTTCACTGTAATAGAATTTTCTTGGAAGCTTGTGCCATCATCCACCAGATGGGTTAGTTTTTTTTATTTTGATTTGAACAAAGTTGATTTTGTGTATAATGATTCTTTGACAGTGTGCAAAGAGTGTATAATTTTGTCATTTTTTTTATGCATTTCAGTTTTAAGTAGAGTGAAAGAGATAGAACCAAAACATTCTAATACATTTGGTGAAAATGTTAATACAATCCAGTAGTAGTGTTGCTATGTGGTACAATCCAGTAGTAGTGGTGTTGCCATGTGGTACACTGAAAAATTGCAATAGCAGGTGCGTCACCAAAGTTTTCGAGCCGCTCCGTCTGTCACTTCGTTTGTGGTACAACGTTAGTACAATCAACCGTATGAAACTAACGATTTTAAATTGGCTCACCACTTGACTAGCCTATCGGTCCCAAGTACATCTATAAACGTACCCCATTCTAGTCGAAGTTCAAGTACTACACTATGTTAGTGCATGGATATACGAAATGTTAGTTTTCGCACAGCAAACCTGTTACTCACCGCGAATAAGAATCAATTTTGTATTTTTTTTTTACCCCGCAATATAAATATGGGGAAGTAAATTCTTTTTATTGATACGGCTTTTGTCTTCATCGCACAGCCATGCTCAGAAACATTCTCAAGGCTGATAATATTCAAGAGCAAAATATAATAGAAGTAACCAAAGTATATTTATTTCCATTTGATTATATATGGAAGACCTTCATCAATCTGTTTCGATTTGTTTGGATTTATTTCATTTCACCACGAAAATCATAAATTCGCTCTTTTCATACGTCATTGTTGCTTGTTGTTTGACATCCATACATGGTGAAACAAAAAGTTGGTTTCCCATAGAGAAATACCGTTGCGGCGGTGAAGGGCAGTCCCTTTGTTTACGTTGTGTGGCGACATCTACTATTTGCAAGTGGGTACGTGAAACTAAGGTTATCTGTCACGTTGCCGGGGACTTGCCTCTACTAAAGAGCCTGAATTTATAAAGAGACGATATGTCAGAATTGGAACAATCGATTATCTGTCAAAGTCATAGGAAAAGTCATTCCAATCGAGCAGAAGACCTGTCAAATGGATAAGATGTCGCCTCTTTATAAATTCAGGCTCTTTAGCCTCTACCACTTGTATGTGTCGACTTGACGATCTCGAGGAGATACGGGTAGGGGAGGGGCTGCTACTGTACCTTTCGACCAATGCCAGTATGATTGATGGTAAGCTTCGACGATGACAATTAATGAGTTGTATTTAGTTCACTTCAAGTCTAGTGAACTAAACAACCTTAAGGCCTTAGAAAAAGATAGCCTTATGTACCATGTCCGAGTGAAGTGAGAACACTGGAACACTTCAGGAAGACTGGAGGAAATTTGCAAAACCTCACCCAGTGTCGCAAGTGCCAGGGATAGGGTCACGAAACAAAAAAATGCTACATGCCAGCTAAATGCATGAATTGTAGAGCTTCCTCTCACGCAAAGGACGACTGTGCAGTGAAGGAAGATCCTAAGAAATTTAAATGTTTAATTTTCTCAAGGGGGCCCTTCAGAAACATACCCGTCATAGGTCTAAATTCTTCATTATTGATGATTTTAATGCAAAACACCGCTCATGGAGTAATGCTTAAAGCAATTCCAATGGTAATACCAACAATCAATACGAAACTAACGATTTTAAATTTGCTCACTACTTGACTAGCCTATTGGTCCCAAGCAAATCGATTAACGTACCCCATTCTAGTCAAAATTCTAGTACTACACTATGTTTGTTTTGATTCGCTATGAAAGTTTGATAGATAAAATGAGGGGCTCGTGGATTTTCCTATGTTTCGAGGAATGTGAATCGATTAGCTTGGGACCGAAGATAGTACCAGAGCTGAGCCCAAAAGTTGAGCACGTTTCTTCGGGACCTACTAGTCTTAGAGCTACCTCTATGGTAATACCAACAATCAATACGAAACTAACGATTTTAAATTGGCTCACCACTTTAGTAGCCTATTGGTCCCAAGCAAACGATTAACGTACCCTATTCTAGTTGAAATTCTATTACTACACTATGTTTGTTTTGATTCGCTATGAAAGTTTGACAGATAACATCAGGGGTGTGTGGATTCATGCAGAACATGCAGGGGTGAGTGAAATAGCTTGGGACTGCTTGGAACCGTTGTTCTGGTACTGAGTGAGCCAAAAATAATAATGATTTTCTTCGGGACCCAGTGGTCTTAGAGTTACCTCTATGGTAATACCAACAATCAATACGAAACTAACGATTTTAAATTGGCTCACTACTTGACTAGCCTATTGGTCCCAAGCAAATCGATTAACGCACCCCATTCTAGTCAAAATTCTAGTACTACACAATGTTTGTTTTGATTCGCTATGAAAGTTTGACAGATAAAATGAGGGGTTATTCGACTTTCCTATGTTTCGAGGGGTGAATCGATTAGCTTGGGACCGAAGATAGTACCAGAGCTGAGCCAAAAAGTTGAGCACATTTCTTCGGGACCTACTAGTCTTAGAGTTACCTCTATGGTAATACTCTGTTTGATGAGATGATAATCTGCAGGTTATTACACTATTCAATATCCAAACAGCTCAGCATGCTTTTCTTCAACAAGAAATCCCTCAACTATTGATTTGGTCTTAACTGATTCATGTCAACGTTGTAGCCAATTAGTTTTTTTTTAACTAGTTCGTTTATTTACTAGGCTCAGTCGTGTGTGACACTTTGCGGAGCCAAAAATCAGTAATGTTTGAATTTACATTTTAAACAGCAGTAGTTCTAGGTTAGTATTGGGTACCAATTACTCGTGGCGGGCTCGAGGTTAATGGGTAACAATTTCGATTGGAAGGAGGTAGGTGGGAAACTGGTTTCTTCAGATACTACTCTTGGACGGTTGACTAAATCCTGGCTGAGCAGGGGCAAGTAGCACAGACACAGGAGGATATTAAGACTGGGACACAATGGCTGGAAGTTGTTTGGAAAGGAGGGGATGGTAGCATCAGACTCTAACATCAGACAGACAAAGGAATTCGTAGATCGCCTGCATGTATGGAAGATCACGGGTTCCCAATACATCTCTTACTTCACGGAAGGGTTGTCTACCTCGGACCACTAGGGTATCGATCAGTCGTGCTCTGGAGACGTCATTACCCGGGCAATACCAAACTGCGTGATCGATGTCATCATAACCGGTTCTACACCTACATATATTGCTGTCAACGAGGTTTATTCTGTAGAGATGTGCGTCTATCGAGTAGTGGTTTAGCCAATTAGTTACCCATGCTGACTGCGGTTCTGATCACCTTCCAGTAATTTTTTAAATATCCCAAGAAATAATTTCTAATCCCAACAGCTCTACATTCAATTACCATAGAACTTATTGGGAGCAATATCGAACATTTATGGAATATATCTTTGATCCTAATGTTCCTTTGCAAACCAAAGATGAAATTAAGTATGCTCTTGAATCTCTGACTACTTGTACAAATGAAGCAAGAGCTGCCTCAGTACCAAAATCCGAGGTTAAATTCGATTCAATTATAATAGACGATGATCTTCAGCTCTTGATCCGTCTGAAAAATTTCCGTAGGAGGCAATATCAAAGAACACCCGATCCTGCCATGAAAGTTATCTGGCGGGATTTGCATAAACAAATTAAAAAGCGATTCTCCACCCTTATGAACAAATAATATTTTGAAATTAGCCCCGAGTTTCAAACCCTTTGGAAGTTCACAAAAATTTTGAAAAAACCTCAAAAGCCTATTACAGCGCTTTTTTTTTCCTCTGTTCGGGACCTAACACCACTGCGACTAGTAATTTGATCTATTGTAGTATATCCCGTGTCCTTAGTTTAGTGCATGTCGTATTACTCCATCACTATTGAGAAATGATAAAGTATTCGATTTTTTACAGTTGTCATTCTTGCATTTATCGCAAGGATCCGACTCTAATTGAAAGGTCCCGCTATTTATACCCTTCGGAGTGTTGAAAGAAACACCCTCCAAAGGCGCGCTCCTCTGTCAGTCAAAATTGGATTCCTTAGCAACAAAATTAAGGAATGACACCGATAATGACCATGCCCTAGAACCCTAGTCTTAACCACTTCAACCTAGGGAACAACGAATAGATGATTAGGAATCA